AATTCATAACTTTATTTAAGGAAATAGAACTTTTTTCATTCAAATTAATAACTATACTTATAATATTATACTTTTTTTATTGTGAAATAATTATCATTTTTATATTTTTTAATTAAATATTTAGAGATAATTCAAATATTTATTTACTATATTACTATTAGAAATAAAAGATGAAGAAATATTTTTTATGATAGAATAATTAATTAAAATAAATAAATAATAATAAGGTTAAAGTAAAAAAATGCTTATTTACCTTAAAAAATAAAAAACCACAATTAATTTAAATAAATTTAAAATAAGAAGTGTTAGTTATTTTAAAATAGAGAGAATATAAAATTGTAAATTTGTACTTATAATATGTAATTGTATAAATATAATATGTTGTTAAATAAATAAATATACACAATATTATAAGTAAACTTTTAAATACAAAATTATTTATATAATAATATATAATATTATAAATTTATTATATCACCTAATATTATACTTATATTAATTACAATGACTTTCTAAACATTTTAAAATTTTATTTGATTTTTGTGTGATTACAGCTGGTAGGGTACATGAAACATACTAATATAATTCTTAATTTTATGACGTGATTATTATCATATATTATTATAATTCCAAAACAAGTATGAAGTTATGTATTAAAAAAAAAAAAAAAAGATAAAGTTGGACTAAATTTACATATAATAACATTTTAACTTTAAGTCTCCAGTTTAGAAAGCTTCATCTTATTATTGACTCAAGACCTTAATCATCCATCTCACTTTCACATTCATTCTTCAAAGTTCAAATGCGTCATGTTTCTTTCTTTTTCCTTTTTATTCTCCTCCGTTTGATGTCATTTGTTGGGCGCCTACCAAAAAAAAACTTAAAAGAGAAAAGGGTAGGACACGAAGAGTCCGTTTAGTGACTTTGTCATTGTTTATTTTTTGTTTCCATTGCAAAATTATATATTACTAAATTAAATTTAAAATTTTAAAATTTTAATTTTGATTATCAGTTATAAGAATTTGTACCTAACAAGTTATCCATTTTTGTTTTTAATCTAAGTTTTTATTTGTCAATTTTAATAATTAGAATTTTGACAATAATAAAGAACAGCAACATATTTTTACTAAACATGCCCTAAATTATTTGAGAAGTATTTTGAGTTAGGTGTGTTTGTTTTTGTTTAAGGCTTAAATACTAAAGTCACCAACAAGCACACACCTGTATCAAATATTTAATTAGGAATTATGAAGAAGTGAATTTTACATGTTTTAATTTTTTTTTTATTTCAGCCTTGATTTTATTTGTATTTGGATGAGTTGAATATAGAGTTTTTTTATGAATTTTACATAATTTTTATTTTTTGTGTAGAAAAAGAATTTACATGCATAACAATAGAAGTTTTGGAACTTAAGTGAAACTTTTTTGGAAGTTGATGAACTGTATTGAAGGGATAAAGGTTGCAATTAAGAACCTAAATGAATAGATTAGAAGTTTTAGGACTCAAGTGCTCATTAAGAATAAGATTGAGGACAGATTTATTATATTACCATTAAAGAAATTGCAAAGAATCAAAAAACCCGACACGGGTTGGGTGTCTACACTGCCATGGTAGTGTCGATACCATCAATTTAGGACTCCTGGGCCCCTGATCAAAGCGGAAGTGTCGACACCTATATTATATGCTTGTCCAAAATGAGATTTTAGGAGCATTTTGGGGAGTAAGAGAAAGGTGGCAATATCGGAAATTAACATCCAAAGAATATCAAGA